CGCAGTGTTTCTCAACCTTGACAACTTGAAGTCCTGTGGACTTCAAGTTGCCAAGGTTGAGAAACACTGCGAATAGGGGGCTTGCAATAGGGATTCCCTGCACCTCTGCTGCCCTCCGGTGGCCAGGCCAGGTGAAGCAGGGGCTTCCTTCTCCTTGCAGAAGGAGGCACCTTGTGCAAGAAGCAGATCTGTGAGTGCGACAAGGACGCGGCCATCTGCCTCCGAGAGAACCTGGACACGTACAGCAACAAACTCCGGTTTTACGGGGACTTCAATTGCAAGGAGGGTCCCAAGAACTGCGCCGTCTCCGCAGGGCAGGACGAAGCCCCCCCTCAAACGACCCCACCGTAGCCGCCTTGCCCTATTTTTCTGAACGCAACACCGGCTAATAAAACAGTTGGCAGCTTTGCGGACTCTCTTATTACACATTTCTTTTGTGTAAAGTGCACACACAGGGTAGGAAACCGGCCTGGCCTGTTGCCCTATCGAGATTTTCTGATCCCCCTGGTTGCCAGTTTGGGAGCTTCAGCAAATTAACATTCTAGTCCTCAAGGTTCTGAATAAAGGAATTAGAGAGGATTCCTTCCACCAAGCCAGGATACAGAATCAAGTCCTAAAACCTGGGGGCCGAAACAAGAGGCTCTGGGGAGGCTCTCCCCCAAGAGCAGCTTAAAAAAACCCATTTAAGATTCTAGTCCTCATGGGAACCCTTTGTGCAGCGACACATTTCCGCTTACACACACACACACACACACACACACACACACACACACAAATCAGTGGTGTAGAGGCGGCCTGGATCTCTTTTCACATCACTGCCCGGAGGGCAGGAGTGGCTAATGGGCCACGGGGTGGATCTCTGCGTCAGCAGCCCTCTTCCTCCCCAGAGGAATCCTTTGTTTACATTGCGGTTTTTACAAACGACCCTGGCATTTTGTGTGTCCCCCCCGCCCCCCCTTGTGTTTTTGTTCCAGGCGGATTCCACGCTTAATTAGGGCTGCCCAAAATAAACACCCTCAGAAGGGATTGTTGGCACAGCTGGCATTGCCCAGGCAGCGGGGAAATAAGAGCTGTGTGTTTGCTTTCCGTGGGCTGCTTAAAACAGCTTCCCGGGGCTCAACCCCACGTGAGCTCCGGGATCTCCCTCCTGGCTCCCTCCGGGTGGGAGTTTGATGGCTGACTTTGCCAGGTAGGCTTTCAACAAACGCATTTACTGACCGTTTGAAGAAGTTGCAACGGCACTGAGAGAGAGAGAGAGACTGGGGACCATTTTTCACACTTAGGGGACACAAATAATGCGGCCCCTGAATGCCCAGAGAGGCTGGAGAGGCGGGAGGGGAGATGACGAGGCCGTCAGAACAGGTGAATTCGCCTCCAGCTGCCAACGTCTTCACGGCCTGGTGGGATGACTTCACCTGCGGCTCCACCCAAGGTCAGACTGGGAGCCACGGACCAGTTTCCCCAGTTCCACCAGGTTGGAGTTTTGCCAGCGGTTGAAAAGCCACCAAAGATCCTTTGAGGATAAGGAGTGAGCAAACTTCTCCTTATCTTCTCGGTTCTTCCTTAGACCTCCCTCCCGGCTGACTTGTGGGTTGGACATGGGACGCCATCCAAGCCCTTCAACGTGTGGAGGAAACTTTTGATGCTCAAGGAGTTAGGAAGCCGGGATGGCAGCTGAGAAGAAGGGAAGATCATGTCCACAATGGGGACCTGGGAGGTCTTAGGGGGTCCTTCCACCGTCCGTGGGCCAACGCGCAACTACGGATGGGTGATGGGAGAAGATCCCCCAGCAGAAGGCCTTCTCTGGAGCGGGAGGTGGCTGCCCACGAACTCCTGGGCCAGATGAGAAGGAACGTTGCGTGTCAGACATCTGGGTGGGTGGGTGGGCCTATTCCTGGGTCCTCTGCAGAGGGCAGAGGACCTGGGCAGACCCGTGTGGTTCTGGGCACCCCATTTCTGGCAGAATATGGGCAGATTAACACCTATTCAGAGGAAGGAAACCGACGGTTCCCAGAGTTGAGAAAAGGATTTAGAAGAACCGACTGGAGGAACGGAGAGCTTTGAAGTCCAGAAGAAGAAGAGACGAAGAAGACGCTGATTTTTTACACACCAGAAAGGAAAGCAACAAGCAAGATATTCAGGAAGTTACGTTCCACACCCACAAGGATTGAATCTGGATTACTCCAAATCTGGATTTTAAAAAAAATCAGGCCTAAATTGCAATTAGCAGAATTAAATACGGGACATCCTCGACTTACAATCATTCGAGATTAGGGACAATTCGGAGTTACGACGGTCTCAGACCGCACCATTAAAACGCTTCAGCTCCCATCGGGTTGGTTTTCCCGCTTGTGGCAGAGATGGGCTTTGTGGTCCTTCCGAACCAGGGTTTGCGTAATGCCTAATGCCTGAAGCACCACATGGGGAGGTGGGGAGGCGGTTCAACTTCAGGATCCAGGACAGCAGCTGAGCTCCCTTGTGGGGAGGTGGGGTTCCTTCCTATGGATCTCCTGCTCAGAAGCCCCCCCCCAGAGATCGGATCCCCCCCCCCCACCCGGGAGTTACAAGAGGGCGTCGCTTCTCCCAGCGCGAGTGAGCCTCCTTCTCCGGGGTGACTGGGAGGCCCTGCGTGGCTTGTAGCCACGGAAGGCCAGGAGAGGAGATGGGCCTGGCTGTCCATCCTAGTTCCGCACACTCCCTCTCTGGAAACACTCTGCCTGGAGGCTGCTGGGCGAGTTGCGTCCTCTGAGTTGAGGCTGACGGAGGAGCCAGGGTTGCTCTGACGAAGGATGAGCCTTTCCAGCTGTCACGGCAAAGAAAACAACCCTGGGTTGAGGCGTGAGGCTCCTGGCATTCGCTCCAGAGCCACCCTGAGCTGGTGCGGACTGCACATCCACGGCCCTGTATAAGCGTCCGTCAGCTGGGCTTCGTCTGGGATTCCGGGAAGTGGACTTAAAACCAGCCGGAGGGGGCTGGACTAGAAGACCTCTGAGGCCCCTCCCAACCCAAGGGTTGTACGGCTTCCTGTCTGGCGTGGACACCTGACCGTCTCCAGGATGGCCCGTCCGCTCTGGGGCAGCAGCCCCATCCTTCTCCTCTGTGGTGAGTCCTGGCCTGAGAGAGGGAGGGGAGGAGGGGAGGGGAGGGGAAGACAAGGAGGAGGAGGCGGGAAAGGCGGCAGCGTTCTCAAGACCCACAGGAGCCCTAACAGCTCAAGAAAGGGACGTTTCTAGCTCAGGGTTGAAATGAGGGGTCCAGGATGCCCTCTGAGCTTCGTGGTTTCCTTGCAGACGTTTCATAACCCAACTAGGTAACATCATCAGTAATGCTGGCTAGTTTGGTAATGAAACACCTGCAAGAAAACAGCCAAGTTCAGAGGCCATCAAGGACCCTTCCTGCGGCTCGAGGGGGCCCAAAAGGTGCAGAGTTTTGTTCCTGCCAGTGTGAGAACCGACCGAGGGAGAGGAAATATCCCCTCTGTGAACCCCAGGATCCTTGGATGGGGCCAAATAAACCCCCCGATTTTCTGAGAAACACACTGTGCCCTTTCACCCTCTGGAGTAAAAGAGAAGAGATTCCTGGGGCGGAGAGGGAAATATTTATCCAGGAGGGGGGAGAGAGAGCAAAGGGCTCCCCAAAAGGCAGGCAGGGAGGCAGAAGCAGCAGCTGAGAACGGAGGAGGAATTTCTGGAGAGCAATAAGGACAATCGGTGGAAGAAAGCCGTGGATTCTCTATCTCCTCTTCAAGAGGAAACTGGGCAGCCATTTGCCCAGAAGGGTAAAGGGACTCCTGCTTGAGCAGGGGGTGAGGCTAGAAGACCTCTAAGGTCCCTTCCAGCTCTGTGATTGTTATTCAGTCCTGGTGTGTGTGTGTGTGTGTGTGGGAACGGCACAAAGAATGCCAAATCCTTCGATTGCAGAAGCATCGCCCGGGGAGGAGGGGGGCAGGGTGGGGTGGGAGAGCGAGGGCCGGGGAGGAGGGGCTGGGGGGCCGGCTACCCTCTCGCTCTCCCTTCCAGTTCTGGTCTTCGCCAGTGCCAATTTGATCCAGTTTGGACGGATCATTGAACACCTGACCGGACGACACCCCCTCATCTACAACGGCTACGGCTGCTACTGCGGATGGGGGGGCTCCCGGCAGCCGGTGGACGCTACTGACTGGTAAGGGGGGGGGTGCGCTTGGGGGGGGGGGGTGAAGACCCAGGAGGGGTCCTGACTTCTCATTTCTCAGAAGACCCAAACCGTGCCGGTCCCTCCACACAGCTCAGGCTATTTCTCCCCCATCAGGTGGATTTGCAAGTAGTCCTCGGTTTACGACAGTCCATTGGGTGACTGTTGGAAGTTACGGGATCAATATTCAGATGTTGGGCAATGGCTCGTATTTATGACGGCCTCAGTGCCCCGGAGTCATGTAAAGGTCGCCTTTTGCCACCTTCTCGCAAGGAAAGTCGATGGGGAAGGTGGACTCAGCTCAAAACCGCGTTTGCCAACGTCACAACTGCAGTGATTCACCTAACCAGTGGAGGGGGGGGGAAGGTCACTTAATAACTGTCTCGCTTAGCGACATAAATTTTGGGCTATTGTGGTCGTAAGCCGAGGACCGCCTGTAATGGAACAGTGGCGTGAATGACGACAAAGGACCCCAATGAAAATAAAATACCTCAATGAGAGAACTTGGGAGCGACACGGATGAAGAAGAGCGGGGAGGGTTTTGCGTTCTGATCTGGGGCGCCTGCCGGTCAAAAGGTTTCCCAAGGAAAGAATCCCCCCCAAGGGGAGATGAAAACCAAGGACGGGGGGGGGGGGAAGAGCCGGGGGGTCCTGGAGTGACCTCGGACAAAGGGTCCCCTGTGGAAACCGCAAGGCAACTCCTCACAATTCAAGAGCTTGCAGAGCAAATATTGCCCTGGGCAGGCGCCCAACGGCCAATGGCAGGCCGAAAGGGACACACCGCCAGCGTTGTTGTCTTGTGGGGTTTGGCCGCACAATGCTGGCTCTGTCTTTCGCCCCCCAGGTGTTGCCGCGTTCATGACTGCTGCTACCAGGCCCTGTCGCTCCGCGGCTGCAAACCCAAGGTGGAGAAGTACTCCTACTCCGCCAGGAAGGAGGCCGTCACCTGCGGTGGGTGGGGGCACAGACCACCTGGGCACGGAGGGGGAGGGGGGGCCTATAAGCCACACTGGCTGGGGATGCTGGGCTTTGAAGTCCACGGGGGGCCGAAGGGGGCCAGCACAGGGACCGCATTCACGTATAGCACTAGAGGCAGCTCTCGACTTACGACGGGTCGTGACCGACTAAATTTTAAGCAAATGTCCTTAAGTGAATTCATTGTATACAATGAGCTGTGTTTTTTTGCCTGAAAATTAACAATTTTGAGCAAAAAAGAGAGATAATGGTCATAAAATGAGGCAAACGGCCGTAAATGCAGATTAGTTGCTGAGCAGCCAAAATGTATTTCTTAAATCTATTTGCCACTCATTTCACTGTGGGGGCAAAATGCCAGAGGCAGGGCAGGCATCGGGACTTTGAATCTGGGTTGTCAGTCTTTTTTTGGGGGGGGGGGGAGGTTTTCCAGCTTCAAACCGTCACTAAGCAATCAGTCATTAAGCGAGGACCACCAGTAGAACATTTTCTCCCCTAATTTCTTTTCGATGAAGCCTCTTTCTCTCTCAATTAGGGGTGCTAATTAAGAACCGCCTCTCCAAATCCGGGGAGGGGCCCAGGCGGGAGAGATGGGCCCCCAGCTTTGGAGGGACAGAAAAGCGGGCAACCCCCCCCTCCTCCTCCTCTCCCCTTTCTTCTCCCCAGGTGGGGAAACCGAATGCCGGCGTCAAACCTGCAAGTGTGACAAAGCGGCCGCCCTCTGCTTCCGCCGCTCGGCCTTCCAGGACGAATACGCCTCCTACCCAAACATCTTGTGCCAAGGACCCACACCGCCCTGCAAGGGCCTCAGCCACCACTGGGCCCCCAGGAAAGGGGGCTGAGGCCGGCCCTTCCGAGCCCGGGATGCCCACACAACCGCCCTGTCCCCACCCTGCCTTCTCTTTGTGAGTCTCTGAATTGTGTCTTCTTGGGCAATAAACGTAGCAACTGACTGAATCCAGGGGTTCTTTTTGGCTCTGATGTCCCCCTTCCCCAAACTACTCCCAGGCATTTTGCATGGCAGGCAGGAGACCCACTTATCAATAGAAACACCCCCCTCCTCCCCCCACAAAGGTGCCTGTTTTGGAAGGAGAGAAAGAAACGCAGAAACTGTCTTTGGAGAAAAACGGGGTTTCTTTAAGGGAAAACGGCTATTTCGTCAACATTGATAAAATTACAAATTGAACCGAAAGGTGAGATCTTGGGGGCTTTGCAGAAGAGCTGACCACTGGGGGAGGGGGGGGGCGTTCAGGGCATGTAAAAGCCCCTCCCCTCCTGCCTCTCTCTCTGAGCTCTTTCGCCCCCCCAACATCTGACTCCTGAACCAACCGAGGAACAGATATTTCCGGGGGGGGGGGGAAGAAACTCCCGCAAATGTTGTCTTCTACCCCCGAATGGCTTTCGGAAGCCCCAGCATTGCCCTGCCTTCCCCCTTGTGAAGCCGGACCCCCCCTCCCTCCACTCACCAAGGGAGATCTGCCCTCCCCCTCCTCACCAGCCCCCCTTAAACCTCTTGCGCTGAACCCCAAGGCAATGAAAGAAAAAACGAGAGCAAAACTTTTGGCCAGAGATTCTTCCCATGATGGTGGAAGAAAGGAGCCTGCCAGGAATGTGAGGAGGGGGGTTTGAGCAGGGGAAGAACCCCCAAATGGGCAAAGAAGCCCCCAACCACCCTGTCCCAATTGGCACCCACCGAGGTGTTGTTTGTGTGTCTTGGGGCTTCCCCCTCTCTTTGGAAGAAGCGAAGGCCGTCCAGCGTGGCCGACTCAGATGCTGAGGGTGGCAAAGGTCTTGACCAGGGTGACCTGCGCCTGGGGGTCCCTCCTGGCGGCCGTGTTATTGTCCGAGGGGCTGCCCTTGCCGGCCAGGACTCTCTGCCGGTGCCTGTCCTCCTGGCGCTTCTTCTTCTCCAACCGCTGAAGCTCCTTCTTCTGCTTGGGGGAGACCTGGCAGAGGGGGAGAAGGGTGGGTGGGACGGGCATGGGCCAACCCAGGGAAGCCTCCGCCTGGGACCTTCTAGAGCTGACTCTGGGGGGAGAAGACTCCCCCCCCCCCAAAGGGGTTCAGGTGTCTGGAGTGGTTGGGAGTGGCTGCCCTGACACGCGGAAGGCGCCTCGGAGAAGGCTGGCAGGAAGCCCCTGAGTCCCTCTGACCGGGTTGGTGGGTTGAGAGAGAGAGAGGACGCCCTCTGCGGCCTGAGGGTCCGTGTTCAAAAGACACAAGGGGGCCCAGTCACGGCCGAGGGGAAGAGCAGGATGCAATGCAAAGGGGATAAGAAGCAGCCAAGGACAAAGGAGACAGCAGCCCTCCGGATTCCTGCTGACGGAGGAGGGGAGGCCAAGAGGCTGCCGAGGGGCCCAAAGACGGGGATGAGGAGGGCAGGAGGGGAGCTGGTCAAGGGTTGGACTGGAAGACCTCCGGAGGTCCCTTCCGACTCTGGGATTCTTCCACCCAAGGGGGAAAACGCCAGACCTCAGCAGGAGGGTTGCGGAGGGGGAAATGAGAAGGGGAATGAAGCAGGAGGAAGGGGCGAGAGATGGCAGAATCCGACCCCCGGGGCTGGGGGTGACCCAGAGCAAGCAGGGCCGGGAGGGGGAAGCTGCGGTTCTCTGCCTTTAGGTACCTTCTGACCGGGGCGGTTCCTTTCCACCAGATTCCCACGGGGGTTATTATTGTTTTCCACTTCCTGGGGGCCCAGAGTCCTGCCTCGGCCTCCCTTCTCGTCCCACAGGGCCGGCCTGGGCTGTGGGTTCGGCCTGTTGGCCTGGTCTTCCTCTGCGCCTACAAAGAGAAGGGCCGTGCTCAGCCGCGGGACTCCTGGCCACGGGGAGCTTTCGAGAGAGAGACTGGGTGGCCAGAAACAGGTCTCCCGCTTGGGCGGGAGGCTGGACTAGATGACCTGCGAGGTCCCTTCCGACTCCGTTATTCTGTTACCCTACGCCGAGCCCAGGAAAGTGGCCCTCCTTCGTGTGGGGAGCAGCCTGCCAAACAGCCGATCCAATTTAAGCAATTTGTAGAAAATATCTGCAAGTCTCAAAAGAGCCAAGGTGGCGCAGTGGTTAAATGCAGCACTGCAGGCTACTTCAGCTGACTGCAGTTCAGCAGTTCAGCGGTTCAAATCTCACCGGCTCAAGGTTGACTCAGCCTTCCAGCCTTCCGAGGTGGGTGAAATGAGGACCCGGATTGTTGTTGGGGGCAATATGCTGACTCTGTAAACCGCTTAGAGAGGGCTGAAAGCCCTATGAAGCGGTATATAAGTCTCACTGCTATTGCTATTGCTAAAATCCGGGGCAATGAAGCCGTGAATCTGGTGCGGACACTAAACTGCCTCTGAGCAGGAATCCCAGAGAAAACGATTCAGCATCAGGTTGGGGCAACTCCTACTTCTCTAAAAAGAGAGCTGCGTTGGCACAGACGGTGCCCTTTTGGGTGAATTTATGCCGCTTTCGGTTTTTCTCTTCTTGGGTTAAGTCTGGCGAGAGGTTTTGTGGAGGGAGGGAGGGCTGGCCAGAAGGTTAAAGAAGTCCCTTCGCCCGAATGAAGGTGGACTGAAGACGCTGCGAAGCCTTCCTTCTCCCCGAGGCCCCTCTGCAAACACCCCTGCGCACCGACCCACAAATGGACACAAGCTCTTCACGCAAGTAACCGGAGCCTCTTCCCTGTGAGAATCCTTTGCAATAAGCAGAAGTCTTTGCCACAAGAGTTTTCCCTAGTGGTAACTTTGAAGAGTCACTAACTGTTGTAAGTCCAGGACTCCCTGTATTACATTTTTCTATAATTTTGTATTTACGATTCTTACCCCTGCTGGAAGGTAGGAAGGAAGGAAGGAAGGAAGGAAGGAAGGAAGGAAGGAAGGAAGGAAGGAAGGAAGGCGAAAGACGGGACTTACGGAGTTTTTCCAACTCTTTCATCTGGAAAACGGCAAAGATGGCGGACTCAATGCTGTAGCCTTCGGCCTCCAGGACTTGGGCAATTAAATCAACGTCCTGACAAGGGAAATGAAATGAGACCCCTGAATACATTCCAAGCTCCTGCGTTGTCGTGGCAAACAGAACCCCCCCAAATTCCTCCTGCACAAAGACCCTTACTGAGCATCCGGTGGCGTTGTGGACTTTCTGGAGAGCGTCCTCCATTTCCTCCCCCGTTTCTTCTTTCGGCTGCTGCCTCTCCCCCTTCGCCTGGGGGGCCTCCTTGTTTGGGGATTCATTTTGGCACAGCATCTGGGCAGGACGAAGGTCGGGGGGGGGAAGCGTGTGAGTGTGGTTTGTGTGGAAAGAGAGACAGGTTCCACTGGGTGAAGCCCTAGGCACATCGAGAAGACCGTAACCCCACCCCACCCCACTCCTCCAGAGCCCACGGGGCAGCCAGCCAACCTCCGTCTGCAGCCAAGCGGGAGCCGCCGAGTTATCGTTGACCTTTCGGACGCTGTCGTAGTGCTCGCCGTAGCGGTACGCGATGTGCAGCTCTCGGGCGTTGCTCTTGTCCGTCCCGTGGATCTGAGAAAGGAAAAGGGAGGCTTCTGACGGGGGCAGAACTTTGCTTCGGGGGAAGGGGGGATATTAAAACAAATTTTCAACATGGAAGGAAGGAAAAGGAAGGAATGAAGGAAAAAGGGGGGTGGGGGAAAGAGGGAGGAACAAACAAGCAGAGCTAGGAGGCAGGGGTGGCCAGGACCAGCCGAAAACCAACTGGATGGAGTTTAACTTCCAGTGTGACACACCTGGCAGCCATTTAACACATTTCCCTGTTTTGGTCCCATTCAATGTTGCAGCACAAGAGCCACTGGCAAAGGCTCCCCAAACCCCCTTAAGAGACCTCCAGGCCTTTCCTGAGTTGGGGGGAGTCGAAAAGTCCTCCCCCCCCTCCCGATGGCAAAGCCCCTCCTGGTGGGACAGGCTTCCCGGTGGGACCCTGCTTTTCCCTGGGAGACCCACCTGCCAGAGGGGGGCGTTTTGCTGGTGAATGACGATATTCACTTGGTTGTTCCTGGCAAAGGCTACGATGGCGTCATTGCCAGCAAACGTGCCCGGCTGGGACAAATTGGCAACTGGAAAAGATAAAAAGGAAAGGGAAATCCAAGGATGAGTGTGTGCAGACCTAGGAGGAAGAGCCTCCATGGAACAACCCAACACCCCCCACCCCCAATTAGGGGAGGGAGGGAAGGAAAGAAGGAAGGAAGGAAAAAGGAAGGAAGGAAGGAAGGAAAAGGAAGGAAGGAAGGAAGGGAAGGCCCACTAAGGCACCCCAACTCCTCAGAGGTCCCTGGAAAGGAAAGGAAACCACGTTGGCTCCTGGACTGTGGCACAAGGGGACAGTTGGTGAAAGAGCCACCGTGGCTATTGAAGGGCTAAACGTCCAGCAGGGCGAAGGCAGAGGAAGTGGGTGGAGGGGAGTTTGGGAGCCACCAGGGACACCCACTGTGCTTCTCGAAAGGGACGTCGTCCTCCACGAAGGGCTCAAAGTCCGACCGCTGTTGGATCATGTAGGCCACCGTGTCCTGCCGGTGCTTGAGGTGGTTCCGGGAGTGGCCCTCCAGCTGGTCCCCGAGGGCCCTGAACAGGCAGTTCCTGCGGGGGGGGGCGGATGGAGAGCCTGACTCAGGGACTGACTTCATTCTAATGCAGTGTTTCTCAACCTTGGCCACTTGAAGATGTCCGGACTTCAGCTCCCAGAATTCCCCAGCCATCTAATGATTATGGCATTCATGTGTTCCACCTTTCGCTCCCGTTCCGTGTTACGGATCCTGTATTTGTTTTCATTTATTACACTACTCATATCCTGCTGATGCAGGAGGGGTTGCACGAGTAAACCCACCAGTGGCTGGCCAGGTTAGGTGGTCTTAATAGAATGGACCTTATAAATTCATATTAGCTTGGCTTTTCATTCTAGTGCCCTGGAGTTCCAAAGTTGACTTTTAGCTGGGAGTGAACTCTCTCTCCAACTTCCTCATAAGTATTAAAAATAGGGCTGAACAGTGTGGCAAGACCCTGTAAAGGATACCCTAACCCTAACCCTAACCCTGGCACAGGAAGCCAGGCGTGGGTGTCAGATAGAACAGAGGTAAAAACTGTTGACAGCTTAAGACATTATAGAAACTTCTCTTCTTTGTATTTCTCCTATGTCCTTCGCTGTAACATTCCAAATGAACTTCCCCTTTTTTGTAATGTCATGCTTGTCTCGTGTATGGAAACGCCTTGAGAATGCACAGTATGGAACACGGCATAAAAGTGGCATCCAGGTAGTTCAGATTTTGGTGTGTGAACTCGCTGAACTCGATGCATCCAATAAACCTGTTTCTCTCTCACCTTCGTGGTCTCAAGTCCTGGTCTTTCGTAAGTAGATTGCAAACCTCAATCTGCTGCAACACTGCCTTTATTATTTTTACCAAATGACCCTTTACTTTTATTTTATTACATTTTTTTCCTGCTGCCCCTCCTCTCCCCTACAAGGAGACTCGGCATAAAATCTTCACCTGTGTTTATACCCGCTCGATTTTTAGATTGCTCCCGTGTCCGCGGGGCAGCCATAAAGTTATTGCATTGGATTAACTGGACTCGAGACTGTCAGGTGGGCGGCATATAAATTAATAAATTAAAATGAAATGAAATGTAAATTAACAAGGCTCCAGTCCTCAGTGAGGAGCAGAGCAAGAGGGAGACCAGCCCATAAAGGGGGCGTGGCTTAGAGTCGGAGGAGGCCTACGTGGCCTGGGCCAGCTCCCTCCTCACCAGCCGAGCCCACCTCACAGGGTTGTTGTGTGTGTGTCGGGGGGGGGGAAACTACAGCAAGGAAGCCCCCCCAACACGAATTAGTAAGGTCGCCCGCGATGACGTCAGAGCCGCGCCACGTAGCCGTCGTGGGCGAGGGGAGGGGCTTGCTTACCCGTCGCCCGGCACTTCGCGCAGGCGCAGTCCGAGAGCTCGCAGCTGTTCGTTGAGGCCGCCGCCGTCGTGTTCGCCTTCGCCCTGGGCTCGGTTGCGCCTCTCGCGGGCCACCGCTCTGCGGGCCGCTCGCTCGTCCCGCTTCCGCTCCACCTCCGCCTTCCCGGGCCTCGCCCGCGCCGCCTGCTTGCGGGACATCGCCGCCGCCGCTGCCGTCGGCGCGGCCTTCGTCACTGCGCCTGCGCCACCTTGCGACGGACGCGGGAGCCTATGGAGGCGAGTGCCAGAGCGGAGAGGGAATTCTGCTGAAAAAGTGGGAGCCCACGTGGTGGAGGACTGGAATTACACCTAGTGGATGCTGTGACTTCTCATTCCCCTACTACGCCCATTGCAGAAAAAGAGCATTTTTCGGCCCTTTTCTCCCCTTTACTGGACACAAAATCTTGGAGTGACTTAATTCTTATTAAACCGGAATAGAATTGGCTGGTTTAAAGACTGGTTTCTTGCAGCGCCCCCTTCAATTGGGATTGTTGCATACAATTCTTTCTTTACTCAATGTTTACAGCTGCTCACCTCACCTTTATTTTATTTAAATAAATATAAATATTATTTATTTATGAGGACTCTGTAGGTGGCTTACAATAAAATACATCATTTAGAACAAAACAAAAACCCAGCTGGGCAAGATTGACGCTGTCATCCAATCAACAGATGCATTAAGGCAGGGCGGTCCAAACTTGGGGACTTTTAAGACTTGTGGACTTCGACTCCCAGAATTCCCCAGCTGAAGTCCACAAGTCTTAAAAGTCCCCAAGTTTGGACCGCCCTGCCTTAAGGGATCCAAAGTGGAGGCGGATGATCCCACCTAGAAATCAGGAGAAATCAACTGAGCCACCTGTGGAAGGGCTTGGCCTTCGGAGCTTGTGGGTGCTCCACCCCTGGAGCCCTTCGAGAGGAGATTGGGCAGCCGTCTGCCCAGAAGGGTACAAGGCCTCTTGCTTGGGCAGGGGGTTGGACTAGAAGACCTCCCAAGGTCCCTTCCAACTCTCAGGCCCTTCGAACAATTGCACAAGCCGAACTGACTCCAAGAGTGGGTCAGCTGGGAGTCTTGGCAGGCCTCGTGGGTCACTCAACCTCATCAAGGGGAACGTTAGGGGGCTTCCAAAGCGAAGGCCCATCCCCTTCGTTTACCACCCTGACCTCTGCCCCATTATTAACGGCCTTGTCTTTTTCACCAGCCCCCTGGTGCTTCCCGGAGAAGGGGAGCTTCACAGCAGCGGAATTAAAGCCACTGCGGCCATCAGGGGGTCTCTCCTCGGGGTGCACTTGGGTCTCCAGAGAAGGTTTCTGGCAACGAAAGAAACCTCTGTGTGGTTACTGAGGGACTCCTGGATCCCTTGAATGCTCCACACCTGAGCTGTAGCCCTCGCACCTCACACAGCCCTGCTCCCCCCTCCCCAATGCTTTCCCAAGAAGACCCTCGCTTGGTCCATTCCCGCAAAGGTTCCTCGGGAGGGTCTGCCTGCCCCTTGCAGGAACAGCTGCTTGGCACACGGCTTTCGAGACGCCACCCCCGGGGAAGAGATCTGTGGCAACGGCAGAAGCAGCTGCCCTTTCCAGAAGACTTGGCAAGTGTTTTTTGTGGGTTATCCGGAGTTGGCTTTCGGCCATTGCTACCCCAGGGAAAGGGCAGTGTGTGTGTGTTTGTGTTAATCAGTAACTGTGCAGCCGGCTAAGGGCGACCCCGCTCAGCTCTTCAGGGATCACCGTTTGTTGACTCAGGCGTGTTTGTGCCACTTTTAAAGCATTTCGCTCCATCCCGTCCGTCGGCTGTTGTCGTGTTTAAAGACCGTCTTTTCTCAGAAGGGACACGCCCTTCACCTCATCCAACCTTTCCCAAAACCAGAGGAAGACCAGAGACGACAATTTCTTTCATTACTATATCCGAACTCGACAAGGTATTAATTTTTTTTAAGGAAACTAAATATGCCCCCGGTTGACCTCCTGCTACAGTAACAGAATACCAGAGTTGGAAGGGGGACCGCGGAGGTCTTCTAGTCCACCCCCACCAAGCAGGAGACCCTAGAACATTTCACAGTCCAGGTAGATCCAGCTGCCTACGATCCCGATGGGAGGAAGGGTTCTCGAGGGAACCTGTGGAAGCAGCAACAGACGAGTCCCTCTCCCGGCTGGCCTAAAAACACACTTAACTTCAAGCCTTTTCCTGAGGATTCTCGTGTTCTGGAAAGGCCCTTGAGGCCTGTTGACCAAGGTCTCAAAGGACCCCACCCATTTTCAGGTGGCAAGCACACCGTGTCTCCTACTAGACTTGGTGAGGTCTACTTAGCTGCCCCAACCTGACCTCCGGTGACCTGCTCAGCCCAGGCGCCCTTCTGCCAGTCCAGGGCACCGTCCCAAGCCCCGTCAACCTGATCTCCTAGCAATGCAGGAGGCCCTCTGGCCAGAGAGAGACCATCGCCACCAAATATGGCCGTGATGCACTCGGGGCCTCCGGCTGAGTCATGTTCCTTTTCTTAACTGAAAGCGGCTCCGTAAAAGATCTTGAAGGGGTTGAGAGACAAGCTTTCCGATTTTCAAAACTCTGCCTGCTGAGAAATCGGGACCTCTGAAGTTTCAACCTCCATTTTTCTCTGGAGATGACCATCTTGAAGAAATCAGGTTATTCCCGCCAGCTGTCAGTCAAAGGACGGTTATGTGGGGGATTCTAGGCTATTGACTCTCAATGCGGTATAGAACTCAATGCAGAATGTAGAAATCCTGGACAAGCCCAGTAAAAGTCCCCCTTGAAGAGCATCAATGGAAAACACAAGGCAATGTCCAGTCTCTCGCCTGCTTGGCACTCCCAGACTCACAAAATCACCCCCCCCATCCAAGACTATCTTGACCATCTATTATTTTTTGCGGGTTTCTCCCAAAGATCTCCCAGTGAAGAAGAAAACATCAAAGCATCCTGGCTATTTTTTTTTTTTGGGGGGGGGGGGGGGGCCGCCTTACACATTTCAGATGCTCCCAAGGCTGCTACAAGCAGAAAAAGT